TTGGATTTCTTCAATGTTCCTTTCAAAAAAAAAAAGCAAATGACTGTAGGTGTGTGGGATATTTATGCATTCTGTCTTCTTTTCCATTGTTCAATTTGTCTATGCCTATACCATAACACACTGTCTTGATAATTTCAGCTTCATAGTAAACCTTGAGAAGAGTTAGTGTAAATCCTTCGTTTTCCTTGTTCCAATTGCTTTAGTTATTCTGGGTCCTTTGCATTTCCATATAAGCTTTAGAATCTGCTTGCCGGCCAGGCGCGGTGGCTCAAGCCTGTAATCCCAGCACTTTGGGAGGCCGAGACGGGTGGATCACAAGGTCAAGAGATCGAGACCATCTTGGTCAACATGGTGAAACCCCGTCTCTACTAAAAATACAAAAAATTAGCTGGGCATGGTGGCGCGTGCCTGTAGTCCTAGCTACTCAGGAGGTTGAGGCAGGAGAATTGCCTGAACCCAGGAGGTGGAGATTGCAGTGAGCCGAGATCGTGCCATTGCACTCCAGCCTGGGTAACAAGAGTGAAACTCCGTCTCAAAAAAAAAAAAAAAAAAAAAAAAAAAAAAAATCTGCTTGTCAATTTAAAAACATACAATTTGGAGATAATTGTGTATAAGCTTATATACAAGCTTAAAAATTGACCTAGTGCATACTTTCTTTGTTATTATAATATTAGTGGCCTTTTAAAAATTGTTAAAACTATATAAGCTATTAAGTTTTAATAGTATTGAGTTTTAACAATTATAACAGTATTGAGTATTTTGATCCATGAACATGGTATGTATTTCCATTATCAGGTCTCCAATTTTTATTAGCAGTGTTTTTAGTTTTCAGTATAGAGGTCTTGTATGTCTTTTGTTAAATTCATTTTAGGTGCTTTTTTTTTTTAATTCATTGATCCTGCTCTAAATAAGAAAGTGATTGATATGCTAATTAGCTTGATCTAGTAATTCCACAACGTTAAATGTATATCAGCATCACATTTTACTTCATTAATTTACATAATTATTTGCTAATTACCAATAAAATTTTAAAATATGAAGCTTGTAAACTCAAAAAAATTCTAGTCTGATTTGACCATTACACATTTTATGTATTAATAAAAAATGCCTTATAAATATGTACAAACACTATCAATAAAAATGGTACATATTTTTCAAAGTACAATTAATTTTTGTGTATTAACTTTTATCCTGTGACTTATTATTTCTAGTAGTTGTTTTATAGAGTCTTTAGAGATGTCTGGGACATCCAATACAACATTGACTGCAAGCAGTAAGAAGGGCATCCTTTGTTCTTAATCTTAGTCAGTATTTTACCATGAAAGATGACTTCAGTTATGGGTTTTCCATAGCTTCTCTGTATCGGATCGAGGAGATTCTTTTCTATTCTTTATTTGCTGAACTTTTTTTCTATTGCAGATGAGTATTTAAATTTATTGTATGTTTTTTCTTTGTCTATTGAAATAATTATAATTATATGGTTTTCATACTGTATTCTGTTAGTGTGGTGAGTTACATATATTTTTAAACATTAAACTACCCTTGCATTCTTGTGATAAACCCAAGTTGGTCATGATGCATTAGTCTTTTAAGATATTGCTAAATGACATTTACTAAAATCTGGGGAATATTGTTGCATCTGTATTTGTAAGCAACATTAGTCTATTATTTTCTTCTTTTGTCTTTGTTCAGTTCTGGTATTTGGGTAATGCTGACCTCAAATGTCAAGTTGGGAAGGGTTATGAAAATATTTTGTGTGAATGAGAGTCTGAAACAAAGAGGAAGTCACATGTTCACCTGTGAGCTAGAAATTAATTAACAGTTCTTTTTCCCCTTTGAATGTGACAGATTGTGTATTCTGGAATCTGTCATGGGCTCTGAAATAATAGAAGGAGATGGTGCTCTGGCAAGAGTTATACATAGATGAAAATAGAATCAGTAGAAAGTGATGCTAAGTCACACCCACTGGTATATGAAGTAAACTTTGGGGAGCTGGTTTAGACATAAAGTGATTCACCCTGTTCCAACTTTGTACAAAGCCTTTTTTTTTAAAAGAAATATTTTCTGATAACATTAAGAAGAAAAATTTAATAGCATGTATAGTTTTAACAACTTTAAAAAGGCATTATTATAACAAAGAAGGTATATACACTAGGCCAATTTTTTAAACCTCTATATAAGCTTGTGGACTACTTACAGAGAAAAATTAATTTCCTAGATGTTACGTGTTGACTTTCATTATTTTTATGTTTTTTTTGAAATTCATAAACATAAAACTGTAAGCTCTTAGTCTTGGCTTTTACACAACTATGAAAACAACACGCATAAATACGAACAGAACTTTGAAAACTATGAAATGCAGGCTAATAACATTAATTTAGTGTAAGGGATGATACTATTTTGCTGAAACTAAATTGGTGCTTACAATCTGAATGTAGTACTTGGCTTCTGCATGGGTTCTTTTGAGTTTGGCAGGCCTAGGCCTTTATTACTGGGTGCCATGCATTGACTTCATTCTTCAGGCATTTTTCTGCATTTGAACTGTTTGTTCATATATTCCTGGCCACTTCCTTTAAGTATTAATCTAGCTCTGTGCCTCTGTTCTTTCCCTTTTAGCTAGAGATTATAAAGTGCCATTCAACATCAATCCACATGTAAATGCAGCTAGTGAAATTGTGTACCAGTACCCAGCCTTAAAAGTCTGATCCAGAATATATCATATTAATTTGTTTTAGATTATCATCAAAAATGGCTAATTTAGAAATCTAGAGAACTGTCAACCTTTCAGAATATAAATCACTGCCCTTGGGCTCAATAGCACAATATTAGAAGTCTCAAAAGAGGAGAAGGCTGGAAGTGTCACCAAGGCCCAGAGGCCCTGGTAGCCCTGTCAGGGCACACAGTGAATATTTCACTCCTGAGTCCTGAGAAGCCTGAGTGTGGAAGCAGAGGAGCAAGAGAGGAGTGGGCATAGGAAGAGATAGATGGAGAAACAGGATCAGGTGTGCTTATTAAAGCCGGGATGGATGTGCAGCTGCCAACTTCCTGTACTACGCACCCAAGAAGGGCTCATGTCTTGCTTATTGAATTCTACAGCAAATTTCTTGGACTCAGATGTCACAGGAAAGCACATGAACCTGGAGCACAATAAAACCTGACTTGTGGTGCCAGGGTATAATGATGTAATTTCAGATATTTACACATGGGTTTTCTGAAAGCAAGACACATCCTCAGTAGAACAGGGAGAGTTGTTCTTTTCCTAAAATGTTGGAGTTGCTTTGTGTGCCCTTTATTTATTTATGTAAAATGTTTTTAATTGAAGGAAGAACAATTTGCATTCAATCTACCCTCTTAACAAAGTTTTAAGTGTACAATACAATACTGATAACCATTCGCACAGTGTTGAAGAGCAGATCTCTAGAATTTATTTGTCTTGCGTGACTGAAACTTTACTCCTCATTTTTTTTCATTTTCTTCTCCAGCCCCTGGCAACCATCATTCCACTCTCTGCTTCTATGAGTTTGACTATTTTAGATTCCTCCTGTAAGTGGAATCAGACAGTATTTGTCCTTCTGTGACTGGTTTATTTCACTTAGCATAATGTCCTCAGGGTTTATCCATGTTGTCACGCATTGCAGGATTTCCTTCTTTTCTAAGGTTGAATAATATATCGTGTGCCCTTTAGACATGCAGCAAATGCACTGCCCTATCTTTCAGTCCTACCCAACCCAATTGTGCCTTCTCTCTTGTTAATTCTTTAGCCTTTTGTCATTTCCTAAATGCCCTTGTCAACTGGGGGCACAGAGGCAGAATGAAAAGTGGTCATAGAATCCATGGAGGGGCTGAGGCCCGAAGAGGAACTGGGGGTGGTGTCTCATCCCACAGCTGCACAGTGATTGTCCAACAGCTCCCTGCCCACTCCAGAGAATTGCTACTACACCTCATCATCAGTACTCCATGGTATAACCAGCTTATACGTCGTTTCTGGAAGGTTTTTCCATCACTTCCTTCTCTCTGCAGAAACACCCCTCTATTTGGGATAGGGCTGACTTCCTGTTTCCATTCATCCTTTAACTTTGCGGTTGGACTTGGCCTTAGTCTGCCTGCCCAGCCCCAAGTGGGCCCCACCTCCACCATGCTCTCTCTGCAGACAGCACAGGGCAGGTGGTGTGGACAGCACAGGCTTCTCTGGCAGTGTGAGTGCACAGGGCTTGGGCGGAAGGCAGCATTTGCTCTGTGAGCTTCCTGGAACCCATTGAAATTCTATCCAAAATACAAGCTGAATTTTTCTAATCTAGAACCTCAGTACTCATAGAGCCCACGTGTTGTCTATGCTGAGTTAAGTGGTAATTGAGGTTTGCAGATTTTTATGTGATTCATTCTGGTTTTCTTCCAACGTCCTGCGAACTAAAACTTAAATATAGCTTCGTTGTGGTTGCTTCTTCCTATTTAGAGAATCTGGCATAATATTTTGTCTTCTGGGCTCAAATAACCATGTAATTACTCTGTAATCATATAGTAATTAGCATGTACTGTATACATTTATTACATAATTATATTCTTAGAGGATTGTATGGCAATTATGCTTGCATTCAGCGTATCATTTTATGTACTACGTCATGAACAAGTATATAATTTGTTGTTTTTCTCTTTTATTCTAATTTCAGTTTGCTAACCAGGGGCTGGAAGCTTATTCTCCTGTTGCCTTGTTTGCATATAGTCAGGCAGGTGCCTGAGCTCTTTTGGCCTCACCTAGCGCCTCCCAATTCTATGTCTATAGGAATATTAAGGGCTTTTGTGCTGCTGTAGACTCCTGGCATTTGTACTGCTAGCATTTTCTCTTTGTCATGAAGTCATTAAGTTATTGGCTTCAAAACTCATTAAGTTCTAGAGCCGCTGGCAATGCCAGGTAAATGGCAAGATCTCAATTAAAACAGAGTAGGAGAGAACGCCCCAGAACTGAGCACTGAGACCGTGCCTGTCTTTCTCTTCATTTGCAGTGGAGCACTTTCCCAAAGGGAACAACTGCCTGGATGCAGCCAAGGCCTGCAACCTCGATGACATTTGCAAGAAGTACAGATCGGCATACATCACCCCGTGTACCACTAGCGTGTCCAACGATGTCTGCAACCGTCGCAAGTGCCACAAGGCACTCCGGCAGTTCTTTGACAAGGTCCCGGCCAAGCACAGCTACGGAATGCTCTTCTGTTCCTGCCGGGACATCGCCTGCACAGAGCGGAGACGACAGACCATCGTGCCTGTGTGCTCCTATGAAGAGAGGGAGAAACCCAACTGTCTGAACTTGCAGGACACCTGCAAGACAAATTACATCTGCAGGTAAGCAGGTCCTGGCAGGCGGTGATTAATGAGATGACAGGAAAAGTCTTGGTGGCTGCTTCGGCTGCCAAGCTCCCTTTTCTGTGCTTCTACCAAGGCAGAGGAGGGAGGGGAGCCCAGTTTGTTTGAATGGATTGGGGAAAATCTGACCTCTGTGTCTGACATGGGGTTCTTCAGAAGCTGTTCAGGCCTCTGTGCTGGAGAACGTTCCTACCTTTAACTCGGAAATGCTTTGAGGGATGCTGCAATGAGGTAAAACACCTCTGCGTTTCCTGGACACCTCTCAGGCGAGAGGGTCACCTGGGGTGAGGTAATCTGAAGGCACATGCCTGCTCCTCAAGTCCTGAGGGGCTGCCAGGGATTAAGTCGAGGGAAGTGTGCTGGAGCTTTGGTGGCTCTTGACCTACAGGGGCAGAAACCTGGAAGAGACCAGTGAGAGGGTTTGTGCAGTGTCCAGCCTTGGGGAGAACTTTGAATGCGTGGGTTCGTTCTGGACTGTTCTGTGGTTCTAAAAAGGGCACCCTCCCACTCCGCTCACCTCCCAAATCTCAGCCTCCATCAGAAACCTGCTGAGCCTGGACCATGTTGTTGAAAACATTCACTTCCTTTGCTTTTTGGCCATTTCTGAATTTACTTTGATAGCTGAAGAAGTCCATGAATACATTTTCTGTGTTTAAACAAACAAAAAAATGGCCGAGCATGGTGGCTCATGCCTGTAATCCCAGCAATTCGGGATGCCGAGGTGGGTGGATCACCTGAGGTCAGGAGTTTGAGACCAGCCTGGTCAACATGGCAAAACCCTTTCTCTACTCAAAATACAAAAAAATTATCTGGGCATGGTGGTGGGCGCCTGTAATACCAGCTACTTGGGAGACTGAGACAGGAGAATCCCTGGAACCTGGGAGGTGGAAGTTGCAGTGAGGTGAGATCATGCCACTGCACTCCAGTCTGGGTGACAAGAGTGAAAGAAACTCCATCTCAAAAAAAAAAAAAAAAAAAAAAAAAAAGAAAAAAAAAAAGAAAAAGAAAGAAAGGAAAACCATAGGCCAGGTATAGTGGCTCATGCCTGTAATCCCATAGGCCGGGCGTGGTGGCTCACACCTGTAGTCCCAACACTTTGGGAGTCCAAGGCAGAAAGATTGCTTGAGGTCAGGAGTTCGAGACCAGCCTGGCCAACATGGTAAAACCCCATCTCTACTAATAATACAAAAATTAACCAGGCATAGTAGGTCATGCCTTTAGTCCCAGCTACACAGGAGGCTGAGACAGGAGAATTGCTTGAACCTGGGAAGTGAAGGTTGCAGCAAGCAGTGATCGCACCACTGCACTACAGCCTGGGTGAAAGAGTGAGACCCTGTCTCAAACAAACAAACCAACAAACACAGACCACAAACAGCAATATAGATGTAGGTAGAGTGAAAAGAGAAAGTTACCCTTTACTCTGTTCTGACTCATTCCCAAGCTTCAGATAGTCACTGTTAACCATTTCACGTGTGCCCTTCAAGAACTTACGGTTCAATTCAGTTGCCGATCAAAGCAAGTAGATTTGGGGTATCATATTGAAAAACAACTGTACTTTGCCCCAGGTAGAAGCCCTCAATATATGCTAAGCCAATGGACAAGCAGGTGGAGGAATGACCATGTGCTTGATTCCTTACTGGCTCCCCATTTCTAAACAGCCAAAGACAGAAAAAAAAATGTCTGAGATGTTGAAGATTCTGAATTTCTGGTCAATTTCAGTTTTTTATTCTGATAGAATGGGAACCCACTCTTTCCTTAAACCAGCTGTAATAATCACCAAAGAAAAGTAAAAGTCCTCATATAACCCTCTCATGCTGAAGATTTTCTGGGAGTAATGCTTCTCCTCCTTTCTAAAAAAAAAGAGTTGGAAGCAAGTGACCTGCTGTATGAGAAAGGACTCGGATGACCAAGTGTCTTATGAACTGGGTTTGCATTTTGGGAAGAAGCAGGTGTTCCAGCAATGCAACACAAGGGCTTTTCCTCACTTCCAAGCCCCTGGTTCATTGAGGCCCTCTTAGCTGTGGGCTAGGAGCAGGGATGGGTGTGCTAGAAGGGTCCTGAGAAAGAGGCGGAGCCTCACCAGTCAGTTAGGCTGGAGATGAATGAGATGAATGCAGCCTGGAAGCTGCAGGGAGCTGTGCTTAGGATGCAGGGATGGGATGAAGGAGAGATTCTGAAGATCTCTGGATGTGAAACCCCAATTCTTGGGCCCCTTTAGTCTCTAAGCAGAAGGGATCCCCCTTCCATGAGCAGGACTGGATTTCTAGGGTCTTACTTGGCTTAATGCCAGACAGCTCCTTCCTGTCTCTATAATAAGATGTGATCCTGTCCCCTGATGGATCCAAGCCAGGACACCTGGTCTTTTGGTCCTGCCTCATGATGGGAAGCTGTATGGAGAAGAAATGGAGCTGTGGATGAGTCTTTCATCTATTGAATGATGGCTGGGAGGTGGGAGAGGTGGTGCTGATGGAGACTTTCCTTCTTGTTTTCCCAAGTGGCCAGAGAAGGTCTGGAACCTCCCCTACAAACACTGGAAGTCCCTATTGAGCAGATAGTTTGTGATCTCTGGCTCGTTCATGAGAGTTCATTAAATCAGATTGCTTTCCTGCTAAGCTGTAGTGAGAATAGTTGGGAGTTGAGAACTTACAGGGCTCTAGGGGAGGCGATGGGAGGAACCTGCAGGTTGCAGGATGGTTTAGGTGCTGTCTGGGGCCTCAGACTGAGGAAGGAACAAGTTCCATGAACTGTTTGCAATATCTCTGATATCAGGGAGTGGACTCAGCTGACGGCACAGAAATGTACAACGGGAAACAGCCCTTGCCTTTATATTGGCTTTGCCTGATCTTCCTGGAGAGGATAGCAGCCACCACGCAGTGGGATGAAGAATCCCTGGGCTGGAAGTGGGACTAGGGGTGCGTTTGTGCTGCTGCCGCATTTCTGGCTCTGGGAAGAACTCAGAGGCTATTTGGGAATCCAAATCTAGACTATCCTGGGGCCCTAGTGAAATTTGTCTCAGTGTGATTGATGACTTTTATACACTGTCTTGAGCCTTGGAAAGGTGAATCTGTGACTTCCCTGGTATTACCCATTGTCAAGCGATTTAGCCTATAATTTCTTTCCAGAGCCTGGATTTATTACTCATGATTACCCCCTCCCTGTCAGAGGTGGTAAATGTAATTTGAGCTGCTAGGTTGGCTAGCAGTGTTTGCTTTCATCAGATTTTATTGCTCTTGTCTTTAATTTTATGCCCTTTATCCCATCCCTTCTCAATCCATCTCTGTGAGGCTGTTGCTCTTCTACCCACAGTAGCAGCTGGTACCAGCTGGAGTTGGGGGTTCTTTGGGTCTCACATTACAGTTGCTATAACCCTAACCCCATCTCTGATGTGATGACTTGAGGTCTCATTTGAATAGCCCCAAAGGAAAGGGATGGCAAGAGGGAGACTTGCTTCCTAAAAACCATATTCTTGGAAAGTTCACATTTTCATATGCTCCATTTCCATCTTAACATCAGCAACCATCAAAGAGCTGTTCAAGCTCATTAAAAGCTCCCTGAATTTAATATTTTCCAACTCAGGGCCTACAGGTTTCCTTCCCCGGGGTCCAACAGTGCCTCTGCACAGAACCTGTCTCTCTTCCGCCTTATGCCTTCAAACAGATGAGAAGTAACATTAGCTTTTCTGTTTGACTTTGTTTTCCTTTTTCCTTTTCCCTTTTAGGGAAGCTGACAGATTCCTTTCCCCTTGAGGTGGTTGGGGAGAGTCAGAGCCTGACTGTTTGGGCCTCCAAGCTTGTCTACAGAAAAGCAAATGCAGAGGTATTATAAGGATGTGATGGAATTTCAAAGCCTCACATTCTTCCCCCGAAGCAGTGTCTCCCCTGCCAATTTTCCTCTGGTTGCTTTTCTCAGTGCCTGAAAGGATGTCAGGATTGGTTTGGGTTGAACAGAAACATAACCTTTTATTCCTGATGCAAATCTGTATAATTTAAACTTATATCTTCCCTCCTGCCTGAGTACTGGCTCAGGGTGCCACAAATATGCTTCTATCTCTTTATTGTTGTAATTAATTGCTCAAGTACCTTAGCAATTCTTCATTACCAGGCGGTCCAGCACCTTCTCCTTGGGCATGCTCCCTAATGTTTTCATCTGAGAACCACAGAGGTAGACTCCAAAACCCCATCTGCTTCCAGTGTCAAGCAAAGAGGGAACCCCAGCCGGCTAAGCAGCCCACTTGCCTGTGGCTTTAGCTGCTACCACATGGGGTCGCTGTTGAGAAAAAAACTCAGGGTGCGCTTGGTGGTTTGGTGGCCTTGCCCTTCTGGGGCATTCTGCACGTGCAGCTGCATCCTTGGGCGCCTGAGTGACAACACCTAGTTTATACTCATGTATGCAGCTTTTTTTTCCAAAGCATGACATTTTGCTCTGGGGAGCTACATCCTAAGGGGTTCCAGTCAGCTCCAACTCTCCACCTTGAACACCAGTAGCCCAGGCTGTACGTTTTCTGGCAGTGTGTTACTAGGTAGAATTGAATGGGTCTCTTCTTTCTTTTATTTGATTATTATTTTTAATAATCAAATTATTCAAATTGATCCCAGGGATCTAGGACCCAATAATCAAAGTCTTGCTCTGTTACTCAGGCTAGAGTACAGTGTTGCAGTCAAGGCTCTCTGTAGCCTCTAACTCCTGGGTCCCAGTGATCCCCTCATCTCAGCCTCACATGTACCTGGGACTACAGGTACATACCACCATGCCTGGCTAATTCAACTATTTATTTAATTTTAGAGACAGGGTCTTGCTAATGTTACCCAGGCTGCTGTTGGGCACCCGGCCTGGACTGATCCTCCTGCCTCAGCCTTTTGAGTAGCTGGAAATTGAATGCTATATTTCCATTCCTATTTCCCAACAGTGCTGGATCAAGAGTATCTCACTGCTTTTAGAAAGATTCTGGTAATGCTAAAACTCAAAAGGAAATGGGTCAG